CGATACTCATCAGACCGCTAAGTGACACGCTGTACCGTGTGTCTCCTGTCATGCCCTCGGTGCCTCTAGAGTGGAAGCCCCTCCAGGGTAAGAAGGGGGTCTCATGCATCCCCGTTGCCTCGGTACGTAGCACTGGGACGCCCAGAGCAGGCGCTCGGGAACCGGGGGGGGTAGATGAAGTTGTTACGGGCTCCCTCCACCCAGCGGGGAGAGCTGTCGTCCATGGCCTGGAATCAGTGCCCAATCAGCCTCCCTTCCTGCGCTCCCCACTCCTCAGTCCTCCGGAGGGTGAGAAGCCGGGGTGTGGGGATCCACCATCACTTTCTTTGAACCACCCAACGCGGGGGCTTCGGGGGCTGAAAGGTGAGGACTTCAGCTACTTATTTATTACAGGAGTGAAGGCACAGACAATAAAGATAGATTGATCACCCCAGACTTTGTTCATGAATATTTAAATATCGCTGATTCGTCTTGTCACTGTAATTACAATTTCTCTGGGCTGCATCTCCAACAACCACAGTTTATGGTAAAGAATGGCCCACTGTATTTCACTTGTCCCTCTGCAGATGCGCGAGCCTGCCAACCGTGTAATGTCCTCTGCATTTCATACATTTTCTTCAGCTGCTGAAGGTTTAAGTCATCCACAATGACCTACGTTTTTTCATTATCCCCATGTCAAACCGCACTCGTGCCTGGGCATAAATTGTCCTCCTCGTTATAGACTCGCATGCCTGTGCCTTCACTTCCTCTTTAAAATGATATTTTACTCTCTTGTCTCTCTCCTCCTCAGGCCGCCAACCCAACCTCCCCCCTCTCCAACGCAGGCCCCTGTGCCCACATAAATTCTCATCTCTTCTGATGGTTCTGAAGGGTTTTTAGGGCTCTGTGGGGGGTGGATGCTGGGGTCTGCTCACCGCAGGCTCTCTCCCCACAAGAAGTCACGGAGGAGTAGGGTGGGAGCGCTCCCACGAGGCGTCGGACAGGAGAAGGCGCAATAGCAGAGCCGTCCCTCGACACGAATTCCTCCCGACCTACGGGGCCCAGCCCTGGCTCAGACGTACGTGCAGATCCGGGGCCGGACTGAATCCTGGGGTTCTCGGCACCTGCCTGCCCTCTGGCTGCCAGGCTTGTGCAGACCACCCGGGCCCTGACCGCCAGCCCCACCAAACCCAAAGGGAGCGGAGGTCCGTGCACATGCTGGTCCTAATTAGCTGCGTGTCTGTGGGGCTGAGGGTCAGTCTGTGCGGGCCTGTGCCCGTGTGCCCCTCTCCCCGTGCAGACGCCTGCACACACAGCCACCCCCCACCGTTTGACATCCGACTTCCCCTCCTTGCCGAATTGGCAACGATAACGACTTTAATCAAGGATTCAGTATCCTCATTAAGATATAAATAAATAAATAAAGCAAGGGCCACGTGAGACTTCAGCGAGAGCCCGGTAATTAAAACGTACATCGGCAGCCACCCGGCCGGGGGAGGCGGGGGGCGGAGAGCCACCGCCTGTGCCCTTCCCCTCCAGAGGGGGGCCCTGAGAGTTCAAAAAACAAAGGGTTAAGGCAGAGAGGTTTGTTTGATCAGATTTTTATGAATTTAATTATGAAGTGGATCACATGTTAAATGAGTTTGAATAGGAAATCTCCAGAGTCAGCCCAGGGAAAGGAGTAAAGAGGAACTCGGAGGGGAAAAAAAAAAAAAAAAAA